GTGATATCGCCGACGCACACGGGCTTCCCGGCGCTCGGTGCCGACGGGACCGACTCAGTGATCACGACATCTGGACCGATCTTCTCCTCATCATGTTCCCGCGGAGTCGCACCAGGCGCCCGAGCTTCTTCCGTCGTTCCAGGAACTTCTCGATGGAGTTTTCTCAGCCCGTCGAGCAATGTCCCTTGAATCGACGCTCCCTGTCGGTCCCTCGCTCCCGGTGGGATCGGTGTCGACTCAAAAATCGCCTGCACCCGCTCCGTCGGGCTCATTGCTCCGGTCTCTGGCATCAGAATCCCAGAATCCACCCGAGTGCTCTCGTTGTCCAACTCAATGAGGTTCAAACTCGGTTCCGTCTTCGTTTCCAATTCCGCCCGCGTTACTGCACTCTGACGAGGAGAACCAATTCTCGCGACGGATCCAGGAGCTCCGACGTAAAGTGTTCGCATTGAGTCGAGCTTTCCGCTGCAATGATTCAATGCCGTCGTCCTCTTCCTTAAGTGAGAAACGTTCGTTTGCGTTATATTCTTGAAGCTCTTCGACTCCCCTGAGCTCATGGTATCGGTTTTCTTCCCTGGAGTCCCGCGATTCCACATCTCGACCCCCGGCTCCGAGCAGGTCAGCGTTTCGAAGCGATCGAGCCTCATTCCCCCTGACTTCGCGGCCCTCGATCGACCCTCAGTCTTCTCTATCATCGGACCTGATTTCAGCAAGGATTCCGCTGTACCGACCCGAGACGCAGTAATGGCTTCCAAGCCCATGTGCGGGAACTCGACTTCGGGGCTCATTGGCTTCGCCGGACCCGGAATATTCACCGAGTTCCCGCTCGTCGTGGCGGTGGAATTCAATTCAATTTTGAGTTCCGTTGGCTTCCTCGAGCCCACGGAAACTGCACCGGGCTGTGCAGTCAGCGAGCCAGTCGCTCCGCGTTGAGCTTCCGAAATTCTCGATTCTGGTTTCATCCCTGAGTCCAGGCTTCTCTTCGGCTTCGATGCGATTCCTCCATGTGCCATTTGGTGTACAATCGCGACAGACTTCGTCTCAGCTTCCGAAGGTACGTTCAGATCCGGAAGAGGGACCGCGAGCTTGCGTGACCGATTGGGCATCCTCAGCGCCCCCACTGGTTTCCTTACCTCATGCTCGATTCGGGAGAAGACTCGATCGGACGCCGTCTTGAGCGGAAATCTTGGTATCTCGGAGAAAGGCGTCACCCTTCTCCCTTCCCTTCCATCGCTGAGCTTCGGCTCGTAAGTAACGTTTTCTAGTCTCTTGGTATTCGCTGCACTCGCTCCATCTCGAATCCCCAGCACACTCGAATGCGTTTTTCCATATATGCTTCCATGTACCCCCGGACTTGGTGCTATCAGTCCGACCCCAGGTGACGACACGATCGGAACCGGTTCCTTCGCCAATCCCGCAGATGCGTAGGGAACGGGCGCTATCCCTCCGTGATTGGTTTCTCGTGGATTCTCCTTCAGCGAAGCCTCGACCTTATCGTGTATCGATTCATTCAGATCCGGAGGCATGATCCTGTGCCCGCTACTCAGGGCGTCCGAGCGCGTTTTCACCTTATCGCTCAATCGCTCTCCGGAAGTAGCCGCATTCGCTCTGACCTCCGCTTCAATCTCGTACGTAGCCGCTCTGATCTTGGCATTTATAGGTTTCACCGCTGAGCCCGGTGCAACCAAGTCGTTCTTTGTTTTCGATGGGCCAGGATGTGGTTCTGACTCAGTGAGCCCCCTCCCTCCCCGAATACGAGGCTCATTTCCGTCCTTGCTCCTCTTCACCTCGAGCACTGGCTCTCCCGCGACACCTTCATGACTCCCCGGGCTCGGAGCCATGGCTTCGTTGTCCCGAGCAATTCAGCCCAGCCGTGCGTCCGAATGACGCCGAGGAATGGACATGAGCGCTTTAAGCAATCGAAGGCCTCAAAGCTCTCCTTGGATGAGCGCCATGCACCACAGGATATCTTGGTATGCAACGATACACTTCGTTCAAGTGGATTCGCCAAGGGTAGGTGAAAATTGTAGCTGCGGTGCTACCCGCAACATAATTCAAAAAAACTTCAGGAGCACTTCCCTGCTCCACCGGAGATACACCGTGTGCCGAGGGTCGACGAATATCTCTCATACGGATGGCCCGGAGTCCCCTCATTGTCTGGGCGACTTTTCGCGAAGTATAGAGAAGGTCGAAAGTAGATTCTTGGATCGGGAAAATCGTCTGCATTTTGCTTTCTCCTGAGACGACATCGGCAACCTTCCGGCATTCCGACCGGATTACCTCGTCACGTCCCTCCCTGATACGTCCCTGATCATGCTCTCGAGCCGGGGGAGGTCTCACGGTGAAGAATTGTGCCGGCGGAGTTTCGAATATCCCGTCGATATACGCTCTCTACGTACTACGTAGTATAATATCAGGGGTCTTGGATACTCTGAGCCGCGCATATCGCAAGCAAGAGCTTTCCATATCCGATAAACCCAGATTGCGAAGATTCCTGCATTGTTCAATTTTCCCACCCACCAAATCCACCACCATCCACCCACCATTATCAGTCCCGCCGACCCGGAGTTCACACATTGGGCGAGGAATTCTATGATCGTCATATCCAGATGTTAACGAAGATACGAATTGAGCTCTCGAAGAGCGATTCATGAAAAAGACTTGGCTCCCTGGCGTGTTGCTGCTGTTCCTCCTGACAGGCCTGCTGTTCGGGAGCGGCACTCTCAATGGGATATTGCAAATGACGACGAGCAAGCCCACGCCGGATCCCAAGCTTCAAATTCTGAAGGACGCCATCGCCGTCGCCAAAGCGATGCTCCCATATGGTCAAGCACTGTCAGTTTTCGGACGTCAGGGTCAGGCCAGTGAAGACAGGAAGAGACCATCCTACTGCAGGAAACGAGGATCCAGCGAAGTGAAGTCTTGTTCTACTTGCGAATATGCCGGAGTGTACATGGATGTTTCCTTGAAGATGAGACAAGGAGCTCCGGATCCGGAGACGCTCTCGCGGAATTATTTATTTTCCGGCCAGTTCCGGCATGTTCGGGACCTGATAATGACTTTTTTCATCCTCGGCGAAAATGAAACTTCTCTGCTCTCTCTGAGTCTCGAAACAAGGGACGAGGGTACGGCGATCGCCAGATGCGGCTTCTTCAAGAGCAGACCCATTGCCAACTTCACCGGCTCTGATGGAACGGCGGTCTTGGACGCGGCGGCCGAATCTTCTCACTCTGCGCTTGACAAAGCGATGAAGACCTCGTCGGCGATTCCGATCAGAAAGGGTTTGCATTTCGCTATTGTGCTGAGCCTGATAGCCGCCCCTGATAAAGTTACCGTTTTCGATTTGATAATGACCGTAAGGGACAGACCTGTGCTGACATGCGAGTTTCCGCCCCCGAAAGCGCAAGGTCCGCTGTTCTTGGACGCGATTCGCATGTATATGTTCCGGAGGGATCGAACCCGATTCCGTACAAAGCCCAGGTTGATTGCCAGAGTGTACTGCTGAATAAATCTCTATCCATTGATCTCATTCAGAGCTAGAATTTTCCCTCAGCAAGTGTCATGATTCTAGATCTCCGAGAATTCAGCAAGTCTCTTCTGGATATCGATCAACTGTTTTCGCCGCTGCCCGTCCCATATCGGAGAATAATTCTTCCTTATTCTCTCGTGTGCAGCATCCAATACGACTGGTGGAGGTACTGAGAGAGTCCAGCCGATTTTTTCGATGTCACGTCCGTGTTGTCCAATTCGTAAGATCGCAAATACTGAGCGCCTCCACGCGATTCCCTCAGGAGAGGAATCAGGGAATCAGCGACTCAATGTTCGAAACAGCTTCGTGGAATGCTTTCGATGATCTCGTGAAGCTCACGGGATCGAGGAGCGTTCTCGCCCCTCAGGGTGTTCTCACGAATCTCGTTGAGCGCGGAACACGCTTGACATTTCACCTTCTGAAGGAATCAGCGGCGCAAGCGCACCGTTTGCTCCTGGAGGGACACGGCAGCTTCTCTCCAATGAGCGAGTCATGCGCACTCACACCAGTGATACGCGGAGTTCGACATAGGCTATTCCGCCATTGCGCATGAACACCATTCGTGGAATACAGCGCTCGGACCCAGGAAGACCTCGCGGCTAACTCGAATGTTAATCGATCAGGCTTTCAGGAACTTACGGAAGCTCGGGCGATTGGTGCCTCATGAGCTGTCCGAAGCGCAGAAGCGAACCCGACCGTGTGCGGAGAGCTCCATCAACGGCCCGAGGCACGGAGTTCCAACCATCCATCACCTGCTGCGATGAAAAATGGATCCTCCATCCTCTAGTAACAATACGGCGCGGTGAGCAGCCGCGCAGCTCGGGTCAACCCGACAGAGCCAACGACCCAGAGGCCGAACAGTTTTGGTAAGAAGTTCTTCTTTGAACTCCTACAACCGGGGAATGTGATTACATCCCGCACCGCCGACAACAGTCGGTGCTTCATGCTAACGCAGCTGCGCACAAGGCGATATCGAGGTCCTAGGTTCCCCCGGCGGTACATGACAACTCGATGCCGACAACTCGATGCCAGACGAATCAATGCCGGACAACTCGATGCCCGATCGGCACACCGACAGATAGTCGTTTTGAAATAACACCGCCTCGAGAAACTTCTGCTTAGTCACAGTTGAGCACAATTTTCCGTGATTCTGACGATGATGCATGATTGGGGGGAGAGCTTGGGAGAGCAGAGCGCGAGGAGGCGAGCGCTCCTCACACAGCTAACTTCTCCGGGCGGAGGAGTATTGGGAGGGTTTTCATCCGCGGAATCGTTCTTCGTGCTCTGGCACGTTGGAAGGTCGACGTTTGCACGTAAGGAAAAATCGTCGGAAGTCCCGGGTTGTCTAGAACGATTTAGCACCATTTAATTTACGTCGTTCGCTCTGCTCTGATGTTTCACAAACGGTATTATTTATAGTTCATATACAAACTTACGCTCGGTTACCCGTCGAATTTGTGGGTAGACCGGATCATGCATTCATTTCATAGTTTTTAGAAACGCCCTGTAGGAATTCGACCGAGGTGCGACTGTGGAAACTATCGACCACTCGCCGCAAGCTTATATCGGCTTCCACATACTTTCTGCGTTCAGGCTCCGGAGAGTGACCGCCGACGAGGCGGGCGTATCGCAGATCTCTGTGATGCTGTACTCTCCGGAGACCATCAATCAGCTTCCAAAGAGTCGGATGATCGACTCCGAACTCGGTTTGCAGCCTCTTGTGAGCTGCTTCGGCATAGTTATTTGTGCGCGAATCGTCATTTAGAGTGCGTTGGTACACCGACCACATCTCGACGGCGAACGAAGGCTCCCGACGAACTTCGCGTCCGTCGGGCAAGATGTGGAGCAGCGAACCAACGTACGCATCCTCGAAATATTTGAGCACTGGCATGAGTTCTTGTGGAAGGTGTACCGCAAGGTCTTCGATAACATTATCGAGACATTCCGGTGGCACGAAGGCGAGGCCCGTGATCATGCGTGCGGCGAGATTGAAATCTGCGTCATTCCGATATCGACCCATGAGGTGCATACCGCCGAGCATTTTCTTCAGATTCTGAACGAGGTGGAAAAAGCAGCCGTGCATCTCGGCAGCCGGGAATGCGCCGACGAAAGCATTCAAGAGACCTTTCTTAAAATCTGAGGATATCGCCGACGCATTCAATGAAGGCCAGGTATCACGGAGCATTCCGAGCATCCGGCGGTACGTGTGCTCTGTCTTGTTCGGTAAGAGGGCATAGCACACGGGTAGAACGAAGCCGTCTCGGTCGGCCAGAACGGCAAGGATCTGGTAGAATAAGAGTGGAGACAGGCTGAACGTGCCATCCTGGTAGACCTCGGAGACGAGGCCGATCCATTCGGATACCGACTGCCGACCGAACCACAGGATACGGTCGGCATCGCCTTCACCTGCAGGGATATGATCAATTGAACGTAAGGAAACCTCATCGACGCCGACGCCTGGTGGGTCATCCTGGAAGGATCGTCCCACGAGCCATTCGAATGTATTGACTGATAAAGACATCAATCGATCACGCTTGGAATTACCCGAGTCCCCGAGGAGGAATGATTCGAAGTGCCCAGGACTGCTTTCGTACACCGTGTACTCAGGCGAGATGATAATCGACGCGCGACTGGACGGGAGTAGGGGCGGACGTCTCGAGGCTTTGCGGGTCCTGTTGACAACCCTTGCTAGAGTCTCCGTCTTCGGTGCGACCAACCCGGTCGCTTGCGACGAGGACTCAAAGACGCTCTCTATGAGCTGCGGCGGGGTTTCCTGATTATCTAGAGCGCGCCGTTTCAGAGTGCATAACCTACTGGCGATGTCGATGCCCGCTGGATTCGGCTCATCGCTGTGGATGCCGATAAGCTTCACTACGTCGCCAGTCGAGACGCAGGTATGCAAGCGTGCTTTACAGGCTCCGACTCGTTCACACCGCCAAAACTGCGTGAAACCGTCCTTACTTGTCTTCTCTCGGATGTAGACATGCCCGTCGTGGATTTTCTTCGGTGCACCTCTCTGAGAAACAATCGATCGAGATGCGGACGTCATTTTCCTTGAGACGGGAAATCGCGAGTCGTCCGTGCGCACAAAGATATCTCTTGAGTGAAGGCTCAACGAAAATGCTACGGCAAACAGCTGACCGATTGCAATGCTTCGAAACAAACTCATACGAGCCACGGTCCCCTAGGAGCGAACCATATGGTCGCCGCCCCATTCCGGCGGGAGAATTCCCGCCATCTCCACTGCATCCGATCGGTGCCGCCAATCACGGGAGAAATCTGGTCATTCGAAGGATCTGTGGAGGAGTCCGCATACTAGCGAAAAGTTCAGAGCGTGAAGCGCACACCTAGAGATGTGAGACTGCCGCGTCGAGAAGTTCCCTTGTTCTTGGATGAGCGAGAGTAGCGGTATCAACAAAGAAGCCGAGTTGCGTTCGATTTTCGAATTGAAAATTTCCCTGGGTTGGACAGGGCGAAAGTGTTTATGTCTCAGTGTGCAACATTGGGCGCAGAATGAGTTTCTAGTTGAGATTCTTATGTAAACGATCGTTGGGCTTCATTCGGACTGCTCAAATGCAGCTCTGCCGAGCTTCCCGGCATCAGGTTGTCCGGCATCGATTCGTCCCGGCATCGAGTTGACCGTGTCCGTCCCCCGGACCCCTCAGAGGACGAACCGCGTTCAGAGAGGCCATCGGAAACCGACGACCAAGGGTACAGAACGGAAAATCGAGAAGTGACTCTGCTGAATGCCATGAGCCGAACGCCATGATTAGAGACTTGTCGCACAGGAGGGATATGCTGATACGCTGAGATTACTTACTGCAGAGAGATAAAGATATTTCCATATCCATTGAGGTTATTCGCAATTCTCGGTTCAGATGGCGCTGCCCGACCACAATTATTGCTTCGGGAAAAATTTCTAGATCGACCAGGCTTCGCGAGGCGCATGCCCCTCAAGAGAGATTCCCTAGATCTCTGATGGCGTGCGTTTCTTGTTCAGGTCACGGGGGTCGGACAGTGTTCATCGATTCTTCTGTCGGAATTCTTCTCATCACGGAGTTCCAAGAGAACAGGAGCCGAGTGGAAGCACGAGGATCGAGGACACCAGCGGACTCACAGGCGAAGCATCAGCGGATGCGCATGCGGGATTCATGGATTCTAATTGGACCCCGGACGAGCTCAGCAACCCCGATTCTCGCGATGATGATTATCGGAGTCGGGGTCGGAAGACCTCCTCCCGTATGCTTAACGGGTAATGAGCGGTGAACCTCGGAAGTGTAGCGGTGCGCGGTCGGCACGCCCCGGAGAGAGCTGTGGTGGTGGTCCAGTCGACAACGATTCTAGAGTTCTGGAGAGGGCATAGCGTTGGAATAGAACGAACGGCGGAGGCTATCGATCGTCACTTCGGCCTTGAAAACACGCGAACGTTGTGTTCCTCGTGTCGCCCAAGGTCTTTCAGCTCAGTGACCCACAGCCGTTCCTAGCTCCCGAGCCCTTTGTGCCTGGGTCCGAGCCCCCGTTGAACCCAGCCCCTCGCTGCCCGGAGTCTGCCCGCTGCCGGCCACCGTAAGTCCCTAGATCCCGTCCTTGACGCTCAATCATAATCGACGATGGAAATATAATTGGTGGAGATGCGGCGTGTCGATAAGTCCGATAGCTATTGACAACCCCTTTCGGTCTTCTCCGACTCCATTCTAATTGGTTTGGAGAGTTTGAACGGGGGGCAATTATGGCCCACGTTAGGGTGGGGGTTCTCTATGATTCCGATGCTCTGGCGCCCGGCGAAATCAGCATTCGTGAGGGTGATACGGTGACGGTTATGCGTCGAGATGTGGGAGAAGGCTGGCGCGAAGGAAGGTCAATGCCAAGGGGAAGAATGGGCTGTTTCCGGAGGCGTACGTGGACTTGGGTTCGTCGCCAGATGTTTCCCCATCGACCGACACGGGTTTCGGCTCGTCTGCGTCGGTTCCGTCGAGCGCGCTTCTGAGGACGACATCAGATGACGACTGGGGCACTCCGGAGGGACTGCTAGAGATGGCGTCAAGAGCTCAAACCCTGGAAGAGCAAAAGGAGGTCAGATTATTTCCTGAGAGTCTCTAGCCAGCGTCCTCAAGGGGCTCTCTCTCTGGGGAACGGCTCCTACGCTACTTCGGACTAGGGCGACGTCAATGGAACGATACCCTCCAAGAATAAGGGCCTGCTCTCGTTGCTGATCGACCGTCCAAGCTTACCGTCTGCCGTTCACAGTGATATCTTCTACGGGCAATTGGATGACTTTTTGTGATCGGCACGGAATGAACGTTGATCATAAAGCGTCTACTTGAAAATTTTGCAGGCTACTCGGAAATCCTGTGGTAGCAGTGATGCTGCTCGCGACATCGTACTGACCAGGCGCTCGCTTTTCTCCAAACTCTGACCATGAACGAAGGCATGTCAAACAGTGGGCCTGCAGCCAGTCGGTTGGCCCAGCAGGACAGCCGACCCCGACGGGGTTGCCTCTCATTTGGATGGCTGTTCAGGAGCGCATCGAAAAAACAGAAGTTCGGTCGAGTCTCGGCTGAAAGTCAACCGTCTGGGACTGCTCCGAAGAAAGACGTCCGCTCTGAGAAATCTGTCCTGCGATCGCTGTCAGCGAATGAGGTTCCCACGTCGGATATGGCACTCGCCAATCTGTGCCAGCTCTGCCTCTGTGTCGTCAGCGCGAAACAGCGCATGCGACTAGAACCCTGTGCGCACTCGTTTTGCATAGAGTGCCTACAACAACACGTAGTCGTCAATGTTCAAGACGGCCGTGCTACGATTCCGTGCCCTCACGCAAACTGTGATATCGATCTTCGAGAGTCGCAAATTCGTCGTCTTCTAAAAGACCAGCCCGGACTAATCGCGCGATGGGCTATCCTATCGCTCAACCAGGAAGTCGCCCGCGATCCTCTGCGTATGTTCTGCCCAGGTCCGGTCTGCGGGAATATATGCCAACTTCCGAGGCCAGCTACGGATGCCTATGGACTCCAATGTCCAACGTGTGAATATACATTCTGCGCCGTCTGTCGAGACACCTGGCATCCCCTCAAAGACTGTGACAAAACAGCCGTCTTCCAGAAAACGTTGTGTGGTCTAGCAGGTATGTTCCTCCTCTCATAGTATTCCGCCATTCGATCGGTGCTTTGGCGGCAAGAATTTGCGTTTCGCGAGCTTAGAGTGAAACCGCAACTGTCAGTGGATATTCTGCCCGACCATCTAGTCGGCTGACTTCACTGAATCGAACGTCGGACACCGAGTCGCTCACCGACATCAGAGCTCTCCCGTACATCGGAGTCGGGTTCTTGCCTTGATACGTATCTTCCTAAAAAACTCACGCCTGCCGACATGCGGCAAAGGCGATAGCGCCCTCATCCTTTACATTCGGCGTTGACGCCTCCAAAATGGAGCTCATGAGTCATGAGGATGAGCCTCAGCTTCAGAATGGCACTCATGATTGGGCTGAGCGAAACGGGAAGTTTTCGCTTCCGAAACGTCCGGAAAGTAGCGGATATGAGCTCATGACGTCAGGAGGTATGAAGCCACTGATACGATTAGGTTCATCGAGCATGTGTACAGGCATAAGTGAATGATCCGAAGCAGATCATCGGATGCAGTATCCATCCGGATAGCCTCTTGTTGACGGCGAACTTCGGAGTCTGCCGGCGGCAGAGGCTCCAGCTATAGTTCGATAGTGCTTGTGATAGGGCGGCCAAGAACAATGGCGATAGCTCGGACCCGCCTCGCTAAGATGACGGCTCATGTTATCGAGATTAGCTGCGCACCGATGTGTGGGACGATAAGAGGCTCTCGATATTCTTGTCTCCGCCTCATTAGGCTGTTTCCAGATCATTACGAAGCCCGGACTCGGTCCTCTACTCCGGAGAACTCTCTCGGCTACATCTGCTCTTTGAACAGCAGCCCCTCGAATCAACAAAACACGAGCCGAACTAAGTACCCCCCACATTCTTCGCTCTGTCTGAGCAATCGGTTCTACTCCGATGCCCCGATTCTCGATCCCCCGGCTCTTCGACTCGCCACCCATCACTCATCTCGGAGACTTCTATGAACTACCGATCACTTCCAATCGCGGATCCATGGGTGTCTCCGACCTTCGGAGGTTTCCTCATTCCACGTTTTTTATTCCTTCTACCGGAGGGATCTCTCTCTCCGAGGATCATGTATTCGTATCGTTAATTTGATTATTCCAAGGAGCTCAAAGGCTCTCAGTCTCAGGCTTGCGAATAAAGATTAAAGCCCACGCGGTGTACGTACTCGATCAGGGAGATCTGATCCGATTCTAAGTCATCCACAAATTTGATGAGTTTATCGTTCAGAGCTTGATATTTTTTGTCTCCCCGGAGCTTGGCCCAACTCGAGAATCAGCATTTTGACTGAATACGCCGCCTCCTGTTTCTGGATATGCTCAACAATTTCGATGATATTCACATGGCTTTTCCGAACCTCTAGGTTGAGACCCTGATGCCAACCTTCGATATGGTTGGTTGTTCGTGCCCCGAAATTTCTGTAGTGATAGTACAGATGGAATAATTCTACACCTAATCCGATCGATTTTCATCTCTCGACTATCTCTGGGGCGGCTCAGGAATCCCGCCAGATTAGCGGGTCGAAAAATCGGGGGATTGAGAATTGGGGGATCTGGAGTATACCGAGCAATCATCATCTTTGAATCTTCAAGATCTCGAGGACGAGAATCGTTTGAGGGAATCGAACGAAAGGATGAATACGCGGAGAAGAGAACCTTGTCCCGAGGACTCGGAGCTTAGCGACATTTGTCAAAATAATAGCATCTCAATGTTCGGATAAATCAAGGAGTTCATAAACTAATGAACGAACCTCACGAATACTTCTTCAATGCTTCAATGATCTCGGCCTACCTTGGCCCTTCTTCATCCACCCGGATTTGCAATATACCGTGTTATACCGATAGGCGGAGGAACGAAAAAGCAAAAGCAAAAAGCGCGTATGACGAGCTAAGAATAATATATATTTCTCTGTATCCAATTTCAG